GTATTCCGCATTGTGTGTGTCGAAACGTATCCGACGTCGTGGTTTGGTAGATACTTTCTTGGCCTTGTGCACGGCCTTAAGGGTCTTGTCACGCGTGACGCAACTACGGTCGGAGCGGCGTGGGCGGCGATTGATAGCAGGAGAGCGTGCTCGAAACCTAGGGGAGCCAAGGGATGAACTGCGGCTCGTGGAACAGCGGTCGCGCCCTCTGTCACTGCCATATGATCTGTCACGGCCACGCGGGCTGCCACGCCCTCCGCCACGTCCGTCTCTTCCTCGGGGGGATGATCGTGATGATCTATCGCATCGACCTCTCGAATGACTGCGAGAGTCGGCAAGTTTCCTGGAGGATGATCGAGAGCGGTCGTGTTGGCGTTTGTGGCCACGTCGGTTGCATGAGCCCCCCGCATTCCGAAACCCCCCGCGTTGTGGAGAACGTCTGTTCCCTGATCCGCGGGATGGTGGTCGGCCACGACTGCCCTGACTGGAAGTCCGTGGACGGCTGGGGCTCCTACCAGGTGTCTTCGCACCGGCTGCGAGGCGGGCATATTTGCACTTGTCACCCTTGTGACACTTGTTCTGGACGAAAAAAATACACTGCGCCATGTGCGGGAAGTTGCACTTATCGCCGCGTGCGCAGGCAGGCTTCGATCCAGGCTTCGATCCAGGCTTTTTGGAATTCGCAGGGGCCGAAACGCTTCGGCGAGCGTTGCCGCCAGCGTTCGATGCACGGGAAGATCTGCCGCCCCCCCCACCCCTGGAGTAGGTATGCAAAGCCTTGCGACGGCCCCCATGCCGACAGTTGCCTTTCTTCCAGGCTGCGCAGATGTTCACCTGAGAACGGTTCTCGTACTCGTACCTTAGCTTGTTTTGATTATTCCCGAGTTGTTTCATTCTCAGAACGTCGAGAACACGTTGACGAAGCCGTTCATCGGTACGATGTGGGTCGCTTATCTTCATTCGCTGATGCTCATACATGTCCTGTTTCATCCAAGCATGTCGCCGAATCTGAATGCGAAACAGGGGTTCTATAATCGCGGGGTCGGTTGCCTCTCGGCAATCCAACAATAAAGCGCACAACTATTGAATAAATCGTTGCAGATCTTCCTCTCTCACCCTCAATTCTTTGAGGCGCTCAAGATTGCGCAGGTCGTCATCAACCTCGGTCACTTTGTAGGGCTGCAGGATGTGCCAGTAAATCTGGCGTCCTTTCAGCATTCGTCCAGCGTCGTGCCCCTTGGTTTCGATGAGCCTGATCTGGAAGCGCAGGTCAGAAGATAAGATGTCGCTGAGAGGCAGTGGCGAGTTCGCAATCCCGCTTTCTTGTAAATCTTCAAAGGCACACTCGGGCTGTTCAGCCACGCATTGGAAGGCGTATGCATTGGAGGGGAGCCCTGAAGCGCCCCCAAAGTTCTTCCGTACCTTTTTCTGCCACTCGAGCAGCTGCGTGAGTTTGGGTAAGACAGGGGCTCTGACGGCGTCTGACTCCTTGATAGGAGTAGTAGGTGTTGACCGAAACCGTAGACAGTGGTTGTGAGGGGATCGGTGCACCGTCGGTGGTCGGTACTGCGCGCACTGGGGACACGTGGCGTGCCTGTGCGGAAGCTGCCGCGGAGGCTGCCCCTGGTGACGTGCGTCTTGGTTGTCCTGCAGAAGCGCGCGGCGCTTCGGCGGACGCTGCCGTCGGCCTGGGGGGGCCTGGCGAAGGCTGAGGGTGAAGTGTAGCGTCGTTGGTGTGGTCAATCAGTAGATTTGTCCAGTTCGTCATGTCCTAATGTATTTGATCCACCTTTTGGCGTGCAGATCGTAAACCGTGCCTGGACGAAGTGATCTTCTCGCCGGTGTCCCGAGAGCGTCGGGGATACCGATCAAGGCGTTGCTCGCATGCTCGGAGACGTGCGTTTTGTGCGTCCATTTCACTCCCCAGACGTGTGGGACACTCCTCAACACGCACTTGTTTCAGCATCTCTGTCCCGAAGTGCCTGGGAGAGCTCAGACTGCGAGTGGCCCGCCGCCGTCTTAACTCCTTGCAACCTGAAGTGGGCGAAATCGCAAACCGCAGGAGGAGATCCCAGCTGATCAGTCAGGGCTCGTCCGACACGCAACTCTGCCAGGGCGCCCTGTACACCAGGTAAGCGCTGCTCGATCACAGAGATCTGGTTAGTGAGGGGCTGCGCGACAGCGTCGGTCGCATCCAGCCGTTGAGCGATGACTCTCTCAATATTTTGCAACGCGCCGATCAGGGTCGACGAGTTGGCACTTGCTTCGGCACGAAGAGCAGCCGTAGCGTGGTCCATGTTTTATCGGAAGTCATTGATTCGGGACTGGACGTCGCCGAGGTCGCGTGCCTCGGATGGAGGCGGTCGGTTTCGGAGCTGGTCGTGGAACTCATATTGTGGGGTCCTGGCCGATGAAACGCCTGCGTCGCGGACGACCACAAGCTGTTGCTCCATCTGCACAAGGTAGTTGCGCAGGTGCTCGACCGTCGCAGACCGTTCACCTGAGTGTGACATCTCACGGTCAACCAGAAACTGCAGCTCTCCTAAGATACGACGATATTCAGCGATCCTGGAATAGATGATCGCTAAGGCGCCGTCGAAGTCTTGGCGTAGAGCAGCAGCGTGTGCAGCGTTCGTCTGAACGCTCTGTACTAGTCCAGGGCGCTGCCTGGACACGAAGGTTTCAACCTGGTCTCGCAGCTCAGCAAGTTCACCCGCAGCGGGCGTGGCCGCCGGCAGGTCGTCTGAGAGCAAGAGGTGAGGAGCGTCTGCTCCCTGGTGCACCCTCTCGCGAGGAGTGCGTGGCCTCTGGGAAGCCGCGCGCGGGCTCGACCTAGTCCCGTCGCAGGGGCATGCGGACACTCGCGACGGTTACGCGTGGACGAGCTGCGGCTAGGGCCGCGCGCGCGTGGTGCCTGGCGGGATGATGATACCATGGGATGCTGCGTCTGCGGCTATGCCGCCACTGGTCTACCGAGCTCCTCGAAGGCGGCCACGCGCGCCGACACTGGAACAGTCCCGGGGCTGGCTGGGCCAGCACTGTTGGTCCAACGGCGGTTAGCGCGAAAGCGCCCTGGAGTATCGGGACCACTGGGGCTTGCGCCCGACGCAGTAGGGATTGTTCCCGACGTAGGAAGAGGAGATGGAAGGTCGAAGGTAGGCGTGTGGAACCCTCCAACGCCTGGTCCTACTCCTTCTCCTGTCCCCCCGCGGGCGGCGCGGCGGCGAAGTTCAGCAGCTAGTCGCGCCTCGGGTCCGTCGGAACTGGGGGGGTATCTGGGACACCCACACGGTCACCTCCAAAGCTCCCCAACACATCACCGAGCCGTCGCGCCGTCGGAGAGCTCGGACGCGAAGCCTCGAAGGATCCCTTACGGCGCATGCGCCGTCTGGGCTCCATCGGGGCTGCGAGCGAGATCGCGACGCAGGGTTCGGTGAATGGTGAGCGTAAAAGGCTTATAACCTGTGTATGGGGTTGGAGTACAAAGGTACAGAACCCCTGATCCGCAGGTAGAGGAAAGGAGGGAAAGATGGGGATGTTTTCCTCCTGTGCGATCAACAATATGGTCAATGCCAATACCTGCGCCCAAACGGTCAAAAAGGAGGAGAGGATGGAGTATATGATGAGGGTATCATACGGGTTCATTTCACAGAAATGGGACTTCCGCAATATAACGACAACAACAACAGCAGCAACAACAGCAGCAACAACAGCAACAACAGTAGCAGCAATCACAACACACACACACACAACAACAACAACAACAACAACAACTGCAACAACAACGACAACAACAACCACAGCAACAACAATCACAACAACAAAAACAACAACCACAGCAACAACCACAACAACAACGACAGCGAAACCAACGACGACGACACCAACGACAACAACATCAACAATCATTTTACCCGAACGCGTGGTGTTCTCCCCAGTGCCAGGGTTTTCATACGACACCAGGCAATACCCCCACTTCGTGGGGGGGCATTACAAGCTCTACCAAATATCCAAACGACTCTTCGCGACCACCCAAACCCAGCTTCCCGCCCTATGACGTTGGGACACTTCACTTCGTGGCGTGCGGACGACCGTGGCTACTACACTGGCGTGGGGTACACACCCACAGAACCCAATGGTTTTTGGAGATTTCGGCGTGCGCGCGCGAAGAAAAAACGAATGTGTCCCGCATGGTATTATTTGACAGGGATGATGGCCCTGGCAGGTGCGCAACCGTTGTCGCAGAAGTTCGAAAAAGTTGCTCGCAAAAGCCCGTTTGACAGAAATGTTTAAAAAGTGTTGGGTTTCCTACGAATCCGCAAGAGCGCGCGGGATGAGATTTTGACATTTTTTTGTTGAAAAACCATTGGTTTTTTGATGTTTTTATGTTGAAATCGCTCCGAACACTAAGCTTTTGGAAGGATTTCGTCTTGCGCGCGCGAATGTCCACTTTACCTTATTTTTTGCAAGGGATTCTTGAAATTTGATTATATTAGAACAAGAAATGTCATTTTATAGTGTTTTTTGCAAGGGAAAACGGATTACAACAAAACAACCGGATCTTGATCACATCGAATTACCTGAGGCTTCCTCACGAAAATGATGAAAACGTGGCTGCGGCCTAGGCGCGGCGGGGGGGGCGCGCACCAGGGGGCCCAACAATAATTATTCTTTAGAATTAATAATGTTCAACAACAACAACCACAACAACGCCAACACCAACAACAACAATGACAACACCAACACCAACAACAACACCAACAACAACAACAACCACAACAAAAACAACAACAACTACAACTACAACAACAACAACAACAACAACAACAACACCACCACCACCACCACCACCGACAACAACAACAACAACAACAACGACAGCGACAACGACAACGACGACGACGACAAAAACATAAAAGAACACTCAACAAAAAACGTCCGTCGTGATGTGTTCACGGCCCGCGGGGGTCTGGGTCATGGTCAGCGTGCTTCCTCCCTCGGCCTCCAGCACGAGCCCGCGGTCCGCACGCAGGGCCGCCGAAGCGTGCGCGAGGGCGGCTGGCTCCCGCCGCACGGCCTCCAGCACAAGCTCGCGGTCGCCCCGGAGCTCCTCTGGCGAAGAGGGCACGAGGGGCGACGTCAGGGCGACGTCCGAGTTGAGGTTGAGATTGTCGGACGTCTCCGTCGGTTCTCGTTGGCTTTCCAGCCTCGGGATGCCTTCCAGAAGCTGTGCCTCGCCGATCGCGCTCTGGGGGTGTCCGGATCGTCCCGAACGGCCGCTGGAGACCCGAGTTATGGCCCGGCGACAACCAGGAGACGGTTTTGTTGAAGGGACCCAGGGACACACAAATAAATATTCGCAAATCCCAGGATTCCCAATATTTTCCTGTTATTTTTGATTTTTCTCTTCCCCCCCACTTCCCATGTTTTTTCATATTTTCTGAGGAATCGGCGATAAATTGTGCCTGTGTGTGTTTTCCATCCTGATTTGTCATATTTTCAGCCTTTGCCCCGAGGCCCAGAATGGCCCCTGCCCAGGCGAGGCGGCGGTGTGCAGGTTCCTCAAGAGCTTGACGTCTGCTGTCCCTCGACTCGCTCTGGAGTTCCCACGGCTTTTCGGATGAACCTGGATTATCTCTGGATGTGCCTCAGTTTGTCTGGATGCATCTCGATGTATCTGGATCTACCTCGTCTTACCCAACTTTCTACGTGCATATTTATGTATCTATATACAGATATATAGATATGTATGTATATATGTATGTGCACGCACCTTGATCCCCGCAAGCCGATTGCAAAAGAGCCGTGAAACCCCTGAGATCCGACGTTACGAACAGTTGTAGCAAGGCAACAAGTCACGACCGCAGCCCTAGACCCACACTTCTGCCAAAAAGTTTGAGCCCGATCGATATGAGATTGTCTCTGGGCCCGAAATAAAGCAAAATCGCCCGTGGTGAAAAGGATGCGACGACAGGATCTCAGGGGCCCTGAGCGACGGGTGCCCCACTGCGGATCCTCGGACACCCACTCCAGCGCCTGGCCGGTCTGCCGCACCGCGGCGAGGGCCACCTCAACATGACCCAAGATCGAATCGGAAAATCGAATCGGCAATCGAAACACGTCGAATCGGCAGGAATGGTCGAAGTAGTGAATAGGGCGTTGTATTTCCTGCGCTAAAGCATCAACATGTTTGTTCAGCTCTCTCATCGGCCGACTGTACCAAGTGAAACTGGGGTCGGGGATGGGTCTTCCTCACTCGGGGGAGGTAGCAAACCTTGCTCTTTTGAATCGCATGGAGCGCTGGGCGGTCTGACAGCTGAGCGCATATAGGGTACTGGGGCACCCTAGATTCAAAGACGATATCCTGATGAGCATCGGGGACCCTGCATTAAGAGCTATATTTTCAGGGAGCTCGTGGTAAGGTCAAGATACTTCAAATTCCAGCTGGAGGGGCTTCCAGCTAATGATGTCGAATGGCTGGATATCCAGATTTTCAGGCACGGTGGTCGCGTAGGGAACCCGTTTAAGGTTCAAACCGACCACTCTAGTTATACCCCTCGGAACAGACAGCGCGCACCCAGTACATACGCATAGATCGTGGCCCGCAGCGCGCATTACGTGTATGAAAAGTTTGTGCTCCCGCCCAATATTGTTTTGCAGCAGAGCTATACTGAGTACCGGCAGCGGTTATCCCATGCACTCCCAGCACAGAATGTAGATGCGAACTGACCTTCCCTGGAATGGTTCACAGACCAACGCGTCCGCAGATAGAAGCCAGTTCAGCCATCGCAAGAGTTGTAGTTGAAGCGCCAGTTCAGTCCTGAACTACAGGGCGTGGCCGAGAGAGCCCTCAGTTGCTTTCTTGCTGTCCAAACCTCGCAGCAGCATCAGGCAATGAGGGCAGTGCCATGCGCAAGGATTTTTCTGTATAGACATCTAGCAGAAAGCTTTCGGACAGTTTGGCAAGACTCGCCGACCCGAGCATACGAGGAGCTGGGGGTAGGTAGGTGGGATGATCATACTTGTCAAGCAACTGTAACACATGACGGTGCATGTTTTTCGGGGGGCCTAGGGCCTAGGGCTCTGCTCACCCACAGGCCGTGTCAAACAGAATTGTCTAACACACGATCTTTGTGAATAGAGACCATGATCTGCAGCAAATTTGGCTCCAGTCTGGAAAGCTAGCAACGGCCAAATCTCCTTCCCAAGAGAGGAGGAGCACTCAGCAGGTGAATCCGCGAAGCCCAGAAAAGAGAACATCTAATCGGCAGTGGAAGCACGTCGAACCTGCAGAAATCGGGAGCAGATCGAAGGCATCGAGATCGACACCCAGTGGCCCGAGCCGAGGCCTGCACAAAGAAACCCAAACCGAAGTCGGGATTCGGAGTCGTAAGCCCTCGAAATCGATTCGATTGGCATCGAAATCGCACTGGCCTCGAGATCAAATCGATATCGAAATGGAATCGCCATCGAAATCTGTGGCGACGAGGGCCAACCAGGAGGCCCCAAAGGGAAAAGGAAGGAAGGGTAGCGGTTCCCCTCTCACGTTGCCCCCGATGACGAGAGAACGCACGAGATGTCCCTAGGAAGGGCTCTGGCCCAGCCAGCAGCCTGCGCGGAGCCTGGCCCGCGGCCAGGGGCGTTTTCTCATCTGAACAGGGGCTCCTGGCCACCTCGCGGTCGCCCCGCAGCGGCGCCGCGGCGTGCTGCAATGCCAGCCCGTCCGAGCACACCGCCACGAGCACGCAGCGCTGGTCCGCGCGGTGCGCCTCGGTGGCGTGGCGCAGCATCTGCCCGTCCTCGAGGGGCAATGTTGGGCCCCTCGAGCTCGTCGTCGGGTGGGTTTTGGGATGTTGTCGTACGGCCTCTACGGTCCTCCAGGCTTTCCAGCGTCGGGGGTGCTCTCCAGCGGCTGCGCCTCGCCGAGGGGCGTCCAGGGCTGCCGGGATCATCCTGAACTGCCGCTGGAGGCCGAGCTATGGCCCGACAAATCGTCCCCGCGTCGTGAAAAAGCACGGCGGACGGTTCTTGGATTCTGGAGGCCCTCACCAGGCCCCGGGACCGGAAAAAAACTACTCAGAATGAAAAGCTGGTCCCCGTGACGGGGTCCAGACCTCTCGGGGTCCACGCTGTGAGAAATTCGTGCCGTCGGGGGGCCTGAGGTTTCAGGTTTTGAGGTTTGAGGTTGAGGTTTTCCGACGTGTTCGTTGATTCTCAGCGGCTTTCCAGCCTCGGGAGGCCTTCCAGCGGCTGCGCCTCGCCGAGGGACGTTCGGGGCTGCCCAATTCGTGCCGAACGGCCGCCCGAGGCCCGAATAATGGGCCGAAAGCCGGCCACCCGTCATGAAAAAAAACACGACGGTATCTACTTCATCACGTTTGGTCTCTGGGAGCCCTCGCCACGCCCAGGGATCGTCAAAAAGGATCCGGGATGGTTCCCCAGAAAGGGTTCCAAACCTCTGGAGGTGTGCGGTCCGTTCGAGGTTCGAATTTCATGGTTTTCGGGCGTTTTCAGGCGTTTCCGTTGGGTCTCTGCGGTTTTCCATCCTCGGGAGGCCTACCAGCGGGCGAAAGGCATGTCGGACGCTATCGAGGATCAATGGACAATCGGGGGTCGATACTCCCCTGAGCTTATCCCGCCCTAATATTGTCCCTTGGCGTTCGGGCCATAACTCGGCTCTCCGGCGGCCGTTCGGACGTCCGGGCACCCCCAGAACGCACTCGGCGAGGCGCAGCTGCTGAAAGGCCTCTCGAGGCTGGAAAGCCGCCGAGAGCCGACGAGAACGCCAGAAGACGTCAAACCTCGACGACAGGCCACGCGGCCGCAGCCTGGCTGGCCGAGGCAGCCCCGCAACGCGGCCCCCGAGTCCTCCCGCAGCGCCTCGAGCGTCTGCTCCAGGTCGCGTTCGGCCTCCGCCGCGGGCGCCATCGCAGCCTGCCGGGTGCCCCGCGGGCGGCCGCGCCGCAGAGGCCCCGCGGGCGGCGACAGCCTGGCCGCGGGCCTCAGGCTCCGCCGCCCCTCCTTCCCCAAATGTCCGAGGATACGATTTTGGCGCATCCCGCCGTATTCCCTCGATGTCGGCCGGGGCCCGCTATCGGGCCCCAGGACCATCAAAACTGGATCGGGAACGAAGAACTACCCCCAAGGGAGGGGTCAGGACCTCTGGGGCCGCGGATTGAAAGAAATACCAGCGACGTACCCGACCCCTTCTTAACACGAGGCGGTCACAAGCAGGACCGCTCAATACAGAAGAATGCACTGACAAGCCTGCAAGATCCTCGATAGCGTCAACAAAGAAGTCTCGACTAGATCCGAGTGTCCCCCCATTCCGCTGGGCCTCTCAGGAGCCCACGAAACTGGTGATAGGCGCGCAATTGGCAGCCCTCGAGGGAGCCGCGAAGTCTCGAACGGATGCCCCGTGGGACCCCGCTCACCTGGGCGTCCCAAGAGCCCACGAAAGTGATGACGCTTGCACGGCTGACAGCCCCCGAAGAAACCACGGGGTCTCGACTGGGTGCCCCGTAAGACAACCCCTGGTTGACCCTCCCAGGAGCCCTCGAAAAAGGCAACGGTTGACCAGCTCGCAGCCCCAAAGGAAGCCGCGAGGTCTCGACTGGATGCCCAATAAGACTAAGACATCCCCCCGTTGACACTCCCAATTGCCCACGAACATGGCGACAGCTGCGCAGAAGGCAGCCCCACCGCCGCGAGGTCTCGACTGGATGCCAAGTTAGACAACCCCCGTTGAACCTCCCAGGAGCTCACGACGAGGCGACAGCTGCGCAAGTGGAAGCACCTCCAGGGAGCCGCAAGGTGTCGTCTGCATGTCCCCAGGAACCATCGAAAGCGACGACTGATGCGCAAATGGAACCGCCCCACTGAACCACGGGGTCTCGACTGGATGCACCGTAAGGCACATCCCCAATGACCCTCCCGAGAGCTCACGGACAGGGCGACATCTGCGCAGGAGGCAGCACCTCCAAGGAGCCGCGACGTCTCGTCTGGATGTCCCGTAAGGCCCCCCCCGCTGACCCTCCCAGGAACCCACGAAAGTGGCGCCAGTTGAACCATTGGCAGCCCCCCAGGAGGCGACGAGGTCTCGAACGATCGCCCCGTAAGATACCTCCCCGTTGACCCTCCCCCGAATTCACGACATGGATGGCACTTGCGCATGTGGCAGGCCAGCCACGAAGTCTCGTCTGGATGTGGAACAAAAACACCACCGAAAACAGCATTCCTCCCAGTACGCCACCGCGCAGCAAGAATCATGCAGACAGGAGGAGAGGAGGAGTCGGGAGGAAAGAAGGACATGCGCGAGCTGTGCTCTATTCGAAACGAAAACCCAAAACCGGAGGGTTGGGAATTAAGCAGGAGGCTGAAGAAAAAAGAAGGCGAGGGCGGGGAAAAAGAAAAACCTGGAGCAAGCAGTGCTCTGTTCAAAACGGGAACCCGGCACAGGAGGATTGAGAGAACTGTATCGGGGGATGTTTAGGTCCGTCCTCCACCTGAACTTCCTCTGTCATCCACCCCCCTCTCTTCCTTCTCCTGAAAAATTTGGGCAGGGGTTCATTTCGCGAGAAACCGATAGCATTTGAGACAACTCACCAACCGCAACACCACGGCGCCATCAGTCACGAAACAGCAGCAGTATACACCTGCTTGAATCGCTACACAACCGTTCTCACCCAATCGCATCGGTATGTACAAACACCCCCTGTCGGCAAGCCGGTCCAGATGAAGCGACGTGGGAGAATAAACAAGAGCAGACTGGATGAAAAGCCCGAAACTATGATATGCACAGCGCATGATATACATATATATATATATATATACGTACATGCATGCATGCATGCATACATACATACTTGCATGCATGCATACATACATGAATACATACGCACATACATACATCGTCACTCTGAGGCAATGGTCCCAAATTCGACAAGCAGGCGGCGCGCAGAGGCCAGGTCTCCGACCTACCAGTTGAAGCTAGAATAGAAAGTGATGACAACATAACCAGGCAAAACGCGATTATGATTTTGGCGTCAACGCGCATGGGCCTCCCGACGCGCGAAACACGATTGAAAAAGTCGCCAAGCACCGAATCACGTATCACGGGTAACATGGTATGTAGCGCGGGCGAGAATCGCAGAGGTGAGCACTTGGAGCTGCACTGGTCCTGAACTCAAATATCCTGCCAAACGGCGCGCGATGATACCCCCGATATGGATTAACCTAGCGCTCCGTAGCGGGCGCCAGCTCATGCCTCTCGCTAACAACGTGTTGATTGGTACCTCGCATGTGCCCTGACATATCGTCTCTGCTGACATACTTGGTCGAAGTGTCTGCAAGATTCTCAAGTGTTCCTACTTTGATGATGTTGACGTATCATTGTCGTGCTTTCTCCTGTAAAGAGAACTGACAAGCCTCCATGCGTCTCATTTTGCCGAATCCTCGCCGGCTCGCAATAGCAATGACCACACTAACATCACTCTTTAACGTGACACTGCAATCAACGTCAAAATGTTTGAGAACTGTTTGTAGGCGTAACGCTATGCATCCACCATTCCCCATTCCACCATACTCCGTGTCTTTAGAAGAATAACCACAACACCCGAAGCCGAACTTCGCGATTTTATCAAGTGTGATCCCCACATACCTGTACCCCCCACGCGTTGATTCACGGCTCTGCTTACAACCTGCATAGTCGGTGCCAGTCCACGCGTTTACTTCCTTAGGGCACGTTTGAAACAAATAGTGATACCCACGCCCTCCGTGGATCTTGAGGTACTTGACCAGTTTGGCCAAGCCTTTTCCACGCCCCTCGGTTTGGAACTGACATGGAACGCGCAAGCCCCTTGAATGAAAACTGCATGTCTGAACGATCCTGGGCCACGAAACTGATTCTGGCCACCAGATTCTGATATTTCTGAATTTCGCGGCTGGAGAAGAGCCCCCCACTTTCTTCCTCGCACGATTGCTTCCCCCCCGGCATCTCGCATCTCACATCGCATTGCTTGAGGCCCACGCATTTAACAAATGTCCCTGCAAATATCCGGTCTGTCTCATGCCGAAACCCGCGCCGACCCTAGAATCGCCCTGTCGCTTGCAAACGCACAGCGAAGCCGATTTCCATTGCCCTTCCGGTAGCAAAACCACTGTCGCATGCGAGGCCAATGCAATGGTTCCCCTAGCTTCTGTCAGCGCCCCGGGCGCCATACATTGGCTTCAACGATCTTCCACGCATGCCCGGTTCGCGATCTTCCTCGGGCAGCTTGACAAAGACGTCGTTCTTGACCTCGGCGTGAAAGCACGCCCGTTTAACACCCACAAATCCTCGCTCGAGCCCCACCCCCCCACGCACCCCGCGGATATATCCCACGCCCTCGGTAACAGCTATAGAGAATAACAGTTGTTGGGTTTCCAAGGGGGACGCGGCCGCAAAGACGCTCTTCTCTGCGGAGTTGCACTTGACTCTTTGAGCCAGAAGCCGAGACGGCACTCGTGGATGGTCTCGCCCCCCTCGCTGCTGTCGATGCACTTCGCGCCAATGGAAGCCTTGCCAGCAACCGCCCAGCATTTCTCCTCCTTGACTTTCACGAAAACCCAATGCCCTCCCCCACCCCCCACCCACCCACTCACACACGCCCGCCTCCCGAGCCCTTAACGCGAGTTTTGGATCGAGTTCACTTCCAGACACATCACCCCGCGCCCGTTCTTTTCCACGCCCGCGATGAACTACGCATATGTCCTCCTCCTCCTCCTCCTTTTCCTCCTCCCTCCTCCTCCTCCTCCTCCTCGTCCTCGTCCTCGTCCTTGTCCTCGTCCTCGTCCTCGTCCTCCTCCTCGTCCTGCTCCTACTGCTCCTCCTGCTGCCCCTCCTGCTGTTCCTCCTCCGCCTCATCCTCCTCCTCCTCCTCCTCCTCCCCCTCTTCGTCTTCTTCTTGTTATTACGATTCTAATTAGTAGTAGTATCATTACTAGTATTGTTCGTAGTATGACTATTATGAGTATTATTGTAATTTTACGTTGACATAGTATTATTATTCGCATGATTTGTATTATCATCATTGTACTGTTCATTATTAGTAGTATTATTAGTATTATTAGCCTCCTTCACCGCATTCTTCGGCTTACCATTTCTGTTCAAAATACTATTAGTATACGTGGTACGCGTCTTCTCCATATTATTAGTCTTATTGTCATTATTCGTATTCGTCGTATTCGAAGTTTTCTGATAATCATTAGTATGATTATTAGTGTGGCTAATACTATTCGTTTTATTCTTAATATTCATATAATAATGATTATTAATATTCTTCGAATTACCATCCTTTACAGTGTTAGTCTTACACTTATCATTAGTAGTAGCATCCGAATTGTCATTATCACTATGACTGGTATTACTATTACTATTATTAGTAGTATGGATACAAGTATTATTATGCGTAGCACTAGCAATAACATTAGTAAGGTTAGTATTCTTATGTTTGATCAGAGTATTAGTACTATTCGTAGTATTGTTACTAGTACTGTTAATGCTAGTACGATTGATAATATTACTACAATTATTACGTTTCGGTTCAATCGCCTTCTCCTTATAATTAAAATTACTATTATTATTGCTATTAGTATCCGGTGTCTTCTTCTTCTTCCTCCTGCTCCTCGTCCTCCTCCTCCTTCTCCTCCTCCTTCTCCTCTTCCTCCTCCTCTTCCTCCTCCTTCTCCTCCTGTTCCTCCTCCTCCTCCTCCTTCTCCTCCTCCTCTTACGTCAAACAGTTCTTACTCGGAAGTATCTGTGGCGATTGTCCTCCTCCTTCTCCTCCTCCTCCTGCTCCTCCTCCTCCTCCTCCTCCTCGTCCCCATCCTCCTCGTCCTCCTCCTCCTCGTCCTGATCCTCCTGCTGTTCCTGATCCTCCTCCTCCTTCTCCTCCCCCTCCTCCTGCTCCTCCTCCTCCTGTTCCTCCTCCTCCTCTTCATCCTCCTCCTCGTCCTCCTCCTCCTTTTCCTTATCCTCGTATTTCTCTTCCTCCTCCTCATGTTTTTCCTCCCCTCCGTTTACTATGTTTAGAAGTGTTGATGTTAGTCTCCTTCTTGCTAGTATAAATAGTTTTACCATTTGGAACAGTTTTCTTGTTATTTATAATAGTAGATGTACTACGATCCCTCTTATTATTATTCTTAGTATTATTATTATTATGATTAGTAGTATTACTATTGTTATGATTATTAGTATTATGAGTATTATTTATATTATTATTATTATTAGTAGTAGTAGTAGTATTAGTATGAGTACTATTACTATCATCGGTAGTAGTAGTCTTCATCGTATTATTACACATAACACGATTAATATTCGTATTCTTGCGGTTCAGAATATCCGCATTACTCCTCTTAAGATTACTGTTATTAGTACGTGTTCCTTATTGATACGATTATTCGTGTTGGTCTCATCCGTAGTCGCATTATTCTTCTTTGTTGCAGCATGATTATTAGAAATAGTATTAATAGCATCTTCGCACGTTTCTTATTCGGCTCCCTAGTAGTAGTCATCATAGTCATATGATTAGTTGGATTGTGTGTCTTCGTAGTATCATTAGTAGCACTCAGGTGTGTACGATTAGTCATGGTTGTACTATGATTCTGTTTACGGGCATTACCATTCGTAATCGTATTCGTAGTACCAGTCTTACTATTCTTCTCGTAATAGTAATACTAGTCTTCGCTTTACTAATAGTAATAGTAGTAGCGTGGTTAATAATACTATTCGTATTCTTCTTCGTGGACGTATTATTATTAGTATGATTAGTAGTGCTCTTCTTTTCGTCTTAGTATGCGTCCAAGTCTGCACGTTCAACTCATTACTATTCTATCGTTACTACTATTATTTACAACATTCATATAGTATGAGTACTCGCATCCTTCTTCGCAGTATTCCCCCATTGGAATTATCATTGGCAGTCGTATTACAATGTCTACTATTATTCCACATCCTCGTTTTCCGACTCCTCCTCCTCCTCCTGCTCCTCCTCCTCCAACTTGTCCTCCTTTTCCTCCTCCTCCTCCTCCTCTTCCTCGTCACCGTCCTCCTCCTATTCCTCCTCCTCCTCCTGCCTCCTCTTCTTCCTCTTTGTCCTCTTTGTCCTCTTCCTCCTCCTCCTCCTCCTCCTCCTCCTCCTCCTCCTCCTCCTCCTCCTCCTCCTCCTCCCCCCCCTCCTCCTCCTTCTGCTGCTGCTGCTGCTGCTGTTGTTGTTACTGTTGTTGTTGCTGATGCTGCTGCTCCTCCTCCTGTTCCTCCTCCCCCTCCACCTCTTCCCCCCGTCGTCCTCCAAATGCCCCCACCCACGTCACTCCTCACCCCTCGCTCACCAGTCCCCAACCATCTGCCCAGCGGCGCCGAATGGTTGTTTTTCTGCCGCCCGCGCGGCCCGCAGCCGAGGCCTGGCCGCGCGCGGGCGCGGCTCGCGCCGAGCCCGCCCAACGGGAATGCCGCCGCACTGCCGCGCTGTCGCGGGACGGCGGGCGCCCCGGGCGAGGCTGGCTGCCGTTGCCCGCGCTGCCCGCGCTGCCCCCGCGGCGTAACCGGGGGCGCCAAGCGGGCGCCGTCCTGGGGGGGGGGGAGGCGGGGATTGCCGCCCCAGGGAGGAGGAGGAGGAGGAAGAGGGGGAGGAGGAAGAGGAGGAAGAGGAGGAAGAGGAGGAAAAAAAGGACCAATGCAAACCCAAAACTCAACAACGATGTTGCAATTTACCCTCCCTGCAAGCTCCGTCTTCACAAACCCCTACAAACCAAAAAACAAAAACATGAGGGTCAGTGCCCCGTTGGAAACCAACCGTCGGACAATCCTGAAGCGCACCAGAAGAACACTCTTGGGACTTCAACGCCGCGCATCGACGTTACTGTTGCGCCCTGACGATCCTGAACCGTGCCAGAGCACAGTTCGCGCGACAGCAACACCGCGAATTAACGTGACCGCTGCGCCCCGACACTCCTACATCACGCGAAACCACCACTTGTGGGACGCCAGCCAACAGAACCCTCGATACCGCTGTAAACCCGTACAACGAATTTGCGCACCGCTGAAGCGAGAACCAAAACTTGGAAACCTAACAATGCAACTCTTGCAAAAAAAATTATGCTAACGGAGTTCCCCACATAAAGAGATTAACGGTTTCGTGGGGCCCATTTTCTTGATGCCCTCCTCGCTTTGGCGGGGCCCCGCTGGAAGGGGGGAGGGCTACGAAACCTGAAGGGGTGGGAGGGGCACGAAACCGTGTAAAGAGTATGGTTTTTCGATACCATCCTCGCTCAGGCGGGGCCTCTCTGGAGGGGTGGGAGGGGCACGAAACCATGTAAATAGTATGGTTTTCCGATACCCTCCTCGCTCAGGCTGGGCCTCCCTGGAGGGGTGGGAGGGGCACGAAACCATGTAAATAGTATGGTTTTCGGATACCCTCCTCGCTCAGGCTGGGCCTCCCTGGAGGGGTGGGAGGGGCACGAAACCATGTAAATAGTATGGTATTCCGATTCCCTCCTCGCTCAGGCGGGGCCTCCCTGGAGGGGTGGGAGGGGCACGAAACCATGTAAATAGTATGGTATTCCGATACCCTCCTCGCTCAGGCGGGGCCTCCCTGTAGGGGTGGAATCTGGGCAAATACAAACCATATACACAGTATGGTTTCCCGATAACCCACCTCGCCTCAGGCGTTGCCTCCCTGAGGGTGAAAGGGGCACGAAACCAGTAAATAGTATGGTTTTTTTTTTTCCGATAAACCACCCTCTGCTCAGGCTGTGCCTCCCTGAAGAGTGGGAGGGCACTAAAATGTAAAAGCAGGTTTTCGGATCCCCACCTCGGTCAGAAGAAGAGGAGCGGGGCCACTCCGTCAGGAGTGGGAGGGGCACGAAACCATGTAAATAGTATGGTTTTCGGATACCCTCCTCGCTCAGGCGGGGCCTCCCTGCAGGGGTGGGAGGGGCACGAAACCATGTAAATAGTATGGTTTTCCGATACCCTCCTCGCTCAGGCGGGGCCTCCCTGGAGTGTTGGGAGGGGCACGAAACCATGTAAATAGTATGGTGTTGCCTCCCTGGAGGTGTGGGAGGGGCACGAAACCAAGTAAATAGTATGGTTTGCCGATACCCTCCTCGCTCAGGCGGGGCCTCCCTGGAGGGGTGGGAGGGGCACGAAACCATGTAAATAGTATGGTATTCCGATACCCTCCTCGCTCAGGCGGGGCCTCCCTGGAGGGGTGGGAGGGGCACGAAACCATGTAAATAGTATGGTAGTCCGATACCCTCCTCGCACCCTCCTCTCTCAGTCGTGGCCTCCCCTGAGGAGGTGTGAAGGGGCAAAACTAAACCATGTAAATAGTATGGTTTTCGGATACCCTCCCGTCAGGCGGGGCCTTCCCTGGAAGGGTGGTGAGGGGGCAAACGAAACCATGAAATCATATGGTTTCCGATACCCAGCTCGCTCAGGCGGGCCTCCTGGGACACAGGGGGGTATCAACAAAGAGCTAAAAACCTCCGAGGCTGTTGGTGGATGATGAAGGCACGAAACCAGTAAATAAGTATGGTTTTTAATAAATTTCGATACCCTCCTCGCTCAGGCGGGCCTCCCTGGAGGGGTGGGAGGGGCACGAAACCATGTAAATAGTATGGTATTCCGATACCCTCCTCGCTCAGGCGGGGCCTCCCTGGAGGGGTGGGAAGGGCACGAAACCATGTAAATAGTATGGTATTCCGATACCCTCCTCGCTCAGGCGGGGCCTCCCTGGAGGGGTGGGAGGGGCACGAAACCATGTAAAAAGTATGGTATTCCGATACCCTCCTCGCTCAGGCGGGGCCTCCCTGGAGGGGTGGGAGGGGCACGAAACCATGTAAGTAGTATGGTTTTCGGTATGGAGTGGTATGGAATGGTATGGTATGGTAGGTATGGTATGGTACGGTATGGTATGATATGGTATGGTATGGTACTGGAGGTATGGTATGGTATGGTACGGTGTGGCATTGGTGTGATATGGTATGGTATGCTATGGTACGCCATGGTATGGTATGGTACGGTATGGTACGTATGGTGTGGTATGGTATGGTATGGTATGGTATGGTATGGTGTGGTATGGTATGGTATGGTATGTGTGGTAGGAACTATGGTATGGTATGGTGTGTGGGTAGGAATAATATTGTGCTGTATGGAAGATGGAGCGGGAGGTGGGTGGGAAGGAGAGGGTGTTCTGGGAAAACAAGAACCCCACTCAGGATGTGGGGAATAAAACGAATGCGCGCGGAACTAAAGCGGGAGCCACATGTTGAAAACCGCCCGCCCTCCATCCGCGAAAATCCTGCAAACGTTGACAACGAATGTGCGCGGCGCAAAGGTGGGAGCGACATTCTGACAACCACCCACCCAGTATCCGCGGCACTGGTTATTAGCTGGGCACCTCCGAAAGACATGATTGAAAAGGGATAGCAGGAGCTCAAAGGAGCAAGAAGAACTGGGGAGGATAACTTTTCTGCTCGCACGCCAGCACTCGAGCCACAATTATCCCGGCAAGGCAATCGAACAGCGATGTGTAGGAGCATATATGGAAGCATTCCCCTTAAGATTCAGATGAGAACCAGTTGCAGAATTCTGCTGTTCTTGCAGTCGCAGTCGCATTCGCGATGACAGTCGCAGCGGCAACGGCAGTCGCAGTCACAGCCTCAGCCTCAGCCTGCCTCAGCATCCGCCTGCCTCAGCCTCAGCCTCAGCCTGCCTCAGCCTCAGCCTCAGCCTGCTTCAGCCTCAGCCTCAGTCTGCCTTCAGCCTCGGCCTCAGCCTGCCTCAGCCTCAGCCTGCATCAGCCTCAGCCTCAGCCTCGGCCTCAGCCTCAGCATCAGCCTGCCTCAGCCTCAGCCTCAGCCCCGGCTTCAGCCTCAGCCTCAGCCTGCTTCAGCCTCGGCCTCAGTCTGCTTTCAGCCTCGGCCTCAGCCTTAGGCTACCTCAGCCTCAGCCTGTATCAGCCTCAGCCTAAGCCTGCCTCAGCATCAGCCTGTGTCTCAGCATCGGACGGCATATGGGATGTGAGGAGCGGGATGAGGGGGAAACGCGGGAGCTCTTTTGCACGCGCATGTGAGAGCGCGAACCTAAGAGGCCAGCACAGACACGAAAGGGAAGAAGGGTAAAGGACGAAGAGAGAGACCTCGGGGAACCCACGAAGACCCTGGAAGGCCCGATGGGGGACAGCGGGGCTAATTTTCGCGGCCTTTAACCCCTCCCGGCTTCCTAGCTCCTTCGTGTGCCCCTTCTCCTCCTCCTCTCCTTCCTCCATCATCCGGGTGCTGGCCTCGCCGTCGATCTCCCTGATCTGCGGCCCGCGCTGCCGCGGGCGGGAGGATAGGGACTGAGAGGGAAACGAAGGCGACAGAAGCGATGAGAGCGAGGGCGAGGACGAGGAAACAGCACATGGACCCGAGGGGCCAAGTTCGAGAGCTCCGGTCGCCAGCCTCTCGCTGGCACAGGTGAAACCGACCCACGCCCCAGGGTCGGGGGAAACAAACTTCGGCTCGAGATCGAGTCCTGATCGAGACACAAAATGCGTCTCACTCGCCGCCGCTAGCTCGATGGCCTTGCGGCCGGCACCTCGAGAACGTGACTTGAGGGCGTCATTCAAGGCCCTCTCGTCAAGATGGCCGCACTCGTCGACGAGTGCCAAGCTACCTCGGCAAAGAAGATCGTGCAGCGCTAAATTTCCACGCGACGGATCGACCTTCGTGAGAGGGTATGCGGGCATTCTCCCGCGGGGTACCCAACGCACCCTACTCCCCACGGCAGACAGACTGTCGCGAATCACGGCTAGCTCCAGGCTGATGCGACGATCCGCTCGGTGTCGAAGACTGACTTAGCGTCGACCACCGCAATCCCTTGGGCGGCGTCGCTGAGCCGGCACTGAGACGAGAGCATGACTGAGAAAGGAGATTGAGCCCTAAACCATTCTGGTCTAGGCACATCACCAAGTACAGCATCACGCCACAGTACTTATAGCCACTGCGCCTCAGCAGTGGCTCCGGAGAGAGCGAGTGTCTCGGCAGCTACGGCGCCGGCAACGGCCCGCTTCAGACGCTGTGATCGCCACGCTAGAACCGAGACCCGGGCACGGCGATTCTCTCGAATCGCGGCGTCCGCCGCCATAATCAACCACGCTCCCTGGGCACCCCCCCTGCGGGCCGAACCTGGCCCTCCCGCGTCACTGGCGGGCACAAAGACAACAGACGCCGGATCCAGAGCCCACACGGTGACTCTCTGCTCGGCCGATCCCCGGAGAAGCTTGCAAGTTTTATCGAGCATCATAGCATCGGCCGCAGTAGGCTCTGGGAGGGCAGCAGCAGGCAGAGACACGGGCCCCGCCACATCTGGACGTGATTCCCGGGCCTACCACTGAACTTGCGCCACTATGGTACGAGAGGACGCGATCTCAGCCCTCGTCAGAAGGGATTCCGGGGTGGACCTGCGCTCCTTGTCCAGAAACATAACCGAAAGTTGCTCAAGGATGTATTTTTCCTGGTCAATGAAAATGCGATCAGGGAGCTGGCGCAAGCGCCGGCCAGCAAACTCCGAATCACCTTCTT